AGACATGAATACTCACAGACAAGCAATATTAACTTCTCCGTTGATGTTCAGTCGTAGTACAAGCAGGGAGTGACATGTATTAGTCCCGCCCCTCCTTCACTGTGATTGGTCAGCTGACTAAAAAGTGACAGTGATGAGCGCTGCGTTTTACCCAAAGTTGAACATTCTTCAATTCTCGGCGCCGAGTAAAAAACGCTGAACGCATTAAACTTTCAGCGCCTCGTCACACTCTTGCCGTTTTAAAAACCACAGTGCTCCCATTGAAATCAATTGAAAAAATACTCTAGCCTCAGGAAAAAACGCTTTGGTGGACACGCGGCCTAATAGTTTCACTTTATTTGCTCATTTGATTTAGTGCCACTTTAACCAGATGTGTAAGTTCAGTCTGGACAGAAGCTCTTCCATATGTATTCTGAAGTGAAATGTTTACAGCTTACCATCGGTGATTTGAAATCACCGAACAAACATTACGGCATGATTTTTGGGTCAATGCATTCTTCCTCAGGATACCGTTAAACCCTTCCACCAAATTGTACACATACAGCAACGGCGGTCGCACGTATCCAGACTGTGAATACTCCATTGGAATTCTCCCTTGAACAAAATACACTCAATTACTGAACGTTTCTATCGAGAACGAGTCTACACTGAAAGCACCACCAGAACAGAAGCTTTATCCAAATGAAGAGTGACGTTAAACCTGGTTTTGTTTGTTTGTGGACAGACACATTGGACTGAACGGACAATACGGGCCGTAGCCGTAGAGTTTGATAGACTCTTCCTGTTTCTAATGTTGATTTGTGTTGCTTTTTTGAGTAGCATTTGAGGAGCTTTCACTTTTGTTGTAGTGCGGTGAGTTTATTCTGGATATTGTGTTTGACGACCGACGGACACACATGAGTGCGAAGTAAAAGTTTTGGTGCAATAATATTTTACACTGTAGCTCGGAAGCAGATTTCTCTTCCAGATGAACGTTGATTTATGGAATCATGTACAAATACACACTCGAGCTGATACACAAGCACTGTTCCAGATGATGTGTGTTTTGGCATGAGACGTAAGACTGTTTGTGTGTGTGTGTGTGTGTACATGTTCCTTGCATGAGCTCATAGTCTTATGGCTGTCCATTTGATGAAAGCATAGATTTGAGCAGCTGCAGTGTGTGTGTGTGTGTGTGTGTGTGTTTGCAGTTTACTACATGTATTAATATGAGTGTTTTATTTACAGCTCCTGCTGCTATTGTCTGGTTCAAATTCAGTCAAATCCTCCACGCGTCTCATAATACAGCCAGGTAATGGAAAAATACCATTCATTTTCTTCATGAAGTAGATTTTTAACAATAGCTTTTTAAAACTTTTTAATAATTATTATTGTTATTTTTTGAATCATGTTTTATATATGAATTCCCAGCAGTAAATTACCCATGGAAACAGGAAATGAGTCACTGCGAATGACATTTCAGACACACTCTCAATCTACTTAATATACTTGAATATTTCAGTCAACTTTAAATATACTGTATTTTATGGAAGCCTGTTTCCAGCACAGGATGAAAAATAGGAAGTTAACTTAAAAAAAAAAAAAAAATTAGAATTGCGAGATATAAACTCAGAAGTCTGTCTATTTTTTTAATTCGGACTATTTTTCTTGGAATTCTGTTTTTTTCTTTATTAGAATTGCGAGATATAAACTCATAATTCTATTTTGCATGGAATTATGAGTAAAAATTAGAATTGCGAGATATAAAATTAGAATTCTGACTATTTTTCTTGGAATGCTGAATAAAAAGTTGAAAATTGCGAGATATAAACTCAGAAGTCTGACTAATTTTCTTGGAATTATGATTTTTTAAAAATTAGAATTGAGAGATATAAACTCAGAATTCTTTTTTCTCACAATTCCTAAGTTACATTTCACAATTCTGACTTTACATCGGAAATTAAACAATTCTGTCTTTGTTCTCATAATTCTCATATCTCACAACTCTGATTTTATATCTTGCAATACTATTATATCTCACAATTCTGACTTTTTTTCCCCCCTGAATTGTGAAAAAGTGAGAATTGTGAGATAAAAAGTCACTGTTATCTTAAAAACACTTTAGTTGTTTCATAGTGCACCGGTCACATCATTCCCAGTGCTTCATGGGATGAGTGCTTCATTCCCAACTTTTTTCCAATTATTAAACACTCACTTCAGTGTAATGCTGCAGTGATGATGTATTTTTGTAGGCCGACCTGTACACGTCACACTGGTTCCCTCGACAAATAGCTGCCGCATCGGTGTGATGACGTTTAATGACCTAAAAAAAACACAAGAGGGTATTACAATGTGTTTTATTTCATAAACATGAGTAAAACGTGAAAATGTCTTGAGCTTGTGTTCACCACAGACTTAATTTCAGGCATTTAACCAGAAACCCATTCAAAAACCCATTGACTTCAGGATGATGAAAGTGAAAGAGCAAACCTGCGACTTATTTCTGTGCTTTAGGACTTTTTTCCTGCAGCGCTGTATTCATGCTAAGCTTGTGATTCATCTCATCCCTGTAGAGAAGATGAATGGAAAAATGCTCTTTGCTAAATTTGCATGCTTTTCACATGCAATGCTTTTCACATTAAATTGACAGAAAATGGACCAACATCATTTTGTTGAATTTGAAACAAAAACCAGCAATAGAGAGATTCATACATGTTGGTTTAAGAGACACTTCACATATTTTCTCTTCATTAGTGTCACTTTTCTTTATTATTTTTGAAGTTTCAATGTGTTTGAATCAGCTGTTCAGACGTTTACCGTTCAATAGTTTGTGATCAGATGTTTTCATTTTTTGAACAAAATGAATACTTCTGTTCAGCAAGAATGCATTAAATTAATCAAAACTGACAGTAAAAGCTTTTATACTATTGCAGAAGTTTTCTATTTCAAACAAATGCAGTTCTTTTGAACGTTCTATTCATCAAAGAACCTTAAAAATAAAACATATCACCGTTTCCACAAAAATATGAAGCAGCACAACTGTTTTCAACATTGATAATAATCAGAAATGTTTCTCGAGCAGCAAATCAGCATATTAGAGTCACATATCATGTGACACTGAAGACTGGAGTAATGATGCTGAAAATGTAGTTTGCATCACAGGAATAAATTACATTACAAAATATATTGCAAAAGATAATAGTTATTTTAAATTGTAATAATATTTCACTGTTTTTTCCTGTTTTTTTTATGAAATAAATGTAGCCTTGGTGAGCAGAAGAGACTTTGTTAAAAAAAAAATGTAAAAAACCCTCAAACTCTTAAGCGCTGGTGGATAAGTCAGTTCAAAACCAGCCATCTTTTAGTGCAGCTCTGTCGTTTAATTTGATATTTCCTTTCTAATGCAATGGCAGGGCCGCTGTAATCTGTCTTCTCTGAAATAATAGCCTCTCTCTGATTGACTGAATCCACACTGAGTGTCTCACTTCTGCTAAGTAAAGTGTGGGAAACACTCGACAAACACACGCACACACACTCTCACAAACAAACACACATACCACAAACTGGCAGACCACACACACACTGGTATACAAGCTCTTCCTCTCACACACACACACACACACATTAAAGTGCAGTGGAGCGTGTGGAAGACCACACACACGCTGCACCTTTAAGGCCGTCGCTGTGACGGTTATCGACAGTAACCTTAGAATTGTAGCAGGGTTCTCACACCTCCTAATTATACCGTGTAGACTCCGGGAAGACCTGCTCTAAATTTAGCCCTCTGCGGATCTGCA